CCCGTGAGCCGCGCTTCCCCGCCGGCTGGTTGGCGCGCGAGCTCCGGACGCACGTGTGTCCCCGCGGTGGGACGTGGGTGGGAGGGCGAGTGTACTCTGAGACGTGTGACCGTCAAGCCTGTGCGTGAAGGTGCGGCTGCGGGTGTTGGGGGGCAAGCTCTAGGCTGCGGGGGACCTCCAGTGCTGTTGTTGTTTTTCCAGTTGTGTTTAATCTTCTGTAAGTGAGGCCACCACGTGGGTGACGAGGTGTGTGTGTGTCTGCATGGGGTTTGTAGTTGCAATTTTTTTTTCCCTTCCAGCATTCCAACTTGTGCACTGTTGGATTTGCCATGCGCAGCTGTCATCATGAATTAATATGCTCCAAATATATGTCTGCATGGGATAAATCTGTGGCAGCCTAGATATAATTGTGCAGAATGTTCTTTTACACCTACCCATATCAGCGCGCATGTGTTTGCATTTCTTTAATGAAGATTCCGAGAGAGAGAGCAATTCCATCCAGTTTGAGAAAGCATGGCATGAAGTTGTTTAGGTTTTATTTGTGATAATGATAGGCTTTATATGTGTGGCTTTGCAGGAGCATGGACCATTGTCTTTTACATTCCAGCCTGTTCTCAACTTGAGAAATTCTTCAGCCAGGAGCTGTGTACCCAAACAAGCCCACTCTGTGTATACAGTTGGAGTGCCTGGAATGTACACCTGGGACCTCCCCACTTGGTGCCCACGGCTTAAGAAAGTAAACAGAAGTTTTCAGGGAGAAAATATGGTAAGTAAAACACTCCTCTCAAGGAACAAAGAAGCCGGTTGACCTGCTAAGCCCAGGACAGGTGTCAGCTGATCCATTCTCCTGCAGCAGCACTGCCTTGTGGAACTCACTTCACATACCTTCTGTAAACCTTTCAACCCTTTTCACCATTTTCTGAACGACAATACCAAGGCTTTGTCCTTCCCTTTTGGTGCTGGGGAATGGCTTGGTCTATCCTGACAGCAGTCCCATGAAGAATTCAAGACTTGGTGACAGGATAGTTGAGTCATATAGGAGAGCCTCACTCAGGAGAGGCACTGGTCTCATCTGGCTTTCACAGTGTCAGTGGGGGGAGTCTTCTCGGGTCTCCCAAGGCTTCTCAGAGAAACAGCTCTGTGGTGCATTCCTGCTGTTCCTTAGACTGAGAGGCTTCTTCCTGGCTGTGGGAGCACTTAGGACTCTCACTAGGTTGTTGATAATCACGAGAAAATGTAAGGACAGGCGTCAAAAGGAGAACAAGGCAAAAGGAGTGTTTCCTGAACAGTTGTCTCTCTCAGAACCGTTGTCTCTCCCAGAACCGGAGCTGACCTTTCCTGCTTATCTGCCTGAAAGACCAACTCCTTCTACCCTGAGCCAGATCACCAAAGAGAATTAGAAACCCTCATCCATGGTTCTGCTCGCAGAGTGCCAGGAATAGTGCTCACCCCAGTGGCCTGAAATAATTAGGTATCTTGCTCAGCATCTTGCCCTGGACTGGGGATTGATTTAGGCCACTGGGAAAATGAGGACCCAGGGCACTGCAGCTGAGCCATAATTCCACTTCTCTGTCGTAGGGAACAACAGAACTGGGGGCTCACGTAGATCAACTGAGTCCCAACATAGATCAACTGAGGTTCCGAGGGTTTGGTTTCACGGGAAAAGAAGTGGGATTGCTCAAACTGATATTTCTTTTCTTTGTCTTTCAACTGGCTTGCTTCCCAGAATAAGCATTTCTGCTTTGGTTTTTGTTGGGTTTTGATATGAGACCTACTCCTTTGTGTTAGGATCCAAGTATTCTTTAAGAGTATTTTTTTCCCCTTGAAGCATTTTTTCCCAATTGATTTTCCAAAAATGAGGACCATTGTGGAATACACTAGACATCGAAACTTTCTGGCTTCTGCAATAGCTACGTAGCCATTCGTGGTGCAGGGAAAATAATGGCAAATCTGCACCTATTTGGGCGGGGTAGGGAGGCTCTGGTAGGATATCAGACAGAGCTGTTTACTTAGTGTGTTCTCCTGACCAACCTTCCTTGGAAGAAACCTTATGTAAAGTTGGGAACCTTGCGCTAAGTACGAGCTGTTAAATTTCAACAAAGATTACTCCTAACCTGTCGTGACTCTTGTGGAAGAAAGTCAGTACTGAACTTTTACTGTCTGCTGAACAATTTTTCAGCCAAGTAAGTGGATGAGCCATGTCTCCATTTACTGGATGGTATCCTAAGGAGATGTCTCCAACACCACATAGATGTGTCTGTAAAGGTAAGTGTTCTGGGTTGGGTGGCCTTGAGGAGAATGGGGGAGAGAAGAGGTGCCGAGCAAGCAAGGGAATACTGTTGCAGTTTCGGAGTCAGAGTTAGTAATGTCCTTATGTTCCCTCTCTCTCTGAACCTTTGCCCTGGATAAGGGGGAGTTGAATTTAGCTTTAAGACCGGATTAGTAAGAGGAGAATGTGAGTGTTGGTGTGACAGGTGGGATGGGGGAGGTCAGTGAAGCCCAGGGGCCAAAAACTACCACTCTGAACAGCTTCTTTTCCTCCCTGCACAAAGTCCAGCGGTTACACGTATCTCTTCTAAAAGTTATTGATCGCAGCAGTAAGTTGCTGCTTTGGTGTATGTCCAGTTCATATGTTGCTAAGGATGTTTGGCTTAGAATTCAGTTTTTTTACTTTGTGACTTGATTTCATTAGAATTATTAAGAGCTTTAATAAAAAGGTTACAGATGACAAAGGTCTAAAGTATGAGTGTTTATTGTTTAAGGAACACGAATTAAAGTTTATAAAGAATCATATAGAATTAAAGTGACTCATGTAATTCAAAATGAACATTATTAGCTTGATTTACAAAGTCAAGAAATCCAAATGATTTATTAAGAATTCATAAAAATTTAAATTGTGAACCATATATGGATATAACCTACAACCCTTGCTCAGATGTAGCCCATGATATCTTAGTATCCAAGTGGGTTTCCCTAGTAAGGGGAACAGGAACTATTTCTGACATGAACTCAATGACTGGCTCCTTTACCCACCCCTCCCAAGGGAGAAGCAGCTTTGCTAGGCCACAGAGGAGGACATTGCAGCCAGTCCTGAAGATACTTGATGAGCTAGGGTCAGATGGAAGGAGAGGAGGTCCTCCCCTATCAGTGGACTTGGAAAGGGACAGGGAGGAGATGAGGGAGGGAGGGTGGGATTGGGAGGGAATGAGGAAGGGGGCTACGCTGGGCTACAAAGTAAATAACCTGTGATTAATATTAAAAAATTAAAATAAAAATAAATTTATATTGTGCTTAATAAATTTGAAAAAAAGTAGGAAATCTAAGCTTTTCAGACAGCATGAAATCGGAAAAATTCCAAAGTTAGTGATCTTCAAACTTTTTAGGACAGTTACTACATACCAGAACTTGTATTAAGCTTTTTAGACCCATTTTTGTTCTATACTGGGGATTGAACCCAGGGCTTGGGGTATGCTTGGCAAGCACTCTACCACTGGGTATGTTCCCAGCCCTGCTTTATTTTTTATTTGAAAGAGGGTAAAGCTGAGTTGCGTGTCTTGACCTGGAACATTCAATTCTCTTGCCATGCCCCACCCCCAAGTTTTTTGGATTATAGGCTTGTGCCAACACTGTGGCTTTGGGTGGTCTTTTAATACTGTCTTTTAAATTATTATTATTTTTATTTGAAAGCACACTGAGAGCCTTTCTGTGGGAGGAGGAAACAGCCTGGGTGTGAAGTAAGGGGAGTGGTAGAGATGATTTTTATTTTTTGTTTGGCTGAATGACTTTCAACACTGTTGTCTATAGTTTGAAGAATAAACTGGAGTTAATTAGGGAACTTAATTATGGAAGGACATTCTCATGTTGAGGACAGTGATCCCCAAGTCATGCACATACACCACAGCTAAAGTAGCTCAGGGGCAGTGTGCTTGCCTGGCATAGAGGAGGCTCTGGGTTCAGACCCCTGCACTGCAGACAAAACCCAGAAACATACAACAGTTGAGTAATAAGGGCAAAAACCTGAAAGCCAATCAATAAGTAAGCAGTGCTTCCTTTTGAGGCTTGAACTATCTGCTCATGGTTCCAGAAGCCTGCTCTTGTCACCATCTTTAGGTCACTGTTCTGTGCTCTAAAAGGTATGGCTAGTCTGCTTCTCCTCATCTGTATGTTGTCCCTTGCTATCGTCCTATACAACATCACCTTGGCCTCTGAGTATCTGTCACCTTTTGCAGCTTTGTGACCTTCATTTCAGAGTTCACTCCCTCAGATACAACATTGAACTAGATGTAGGCCAGTTCTGGTAATAGGAACTTTGCAGTTTTACTTGGTGACAACATCTTTCCATATTTCCCACTGTCCCGTAAGAAACCAGTGACTCTTCTCAAAGTCCCGACTCCTTAAGTCCTCTCTGCCTAGAAGCCTTTCTAATCATTTCTACCTCGCTGTCTCCAGCACTGTTTGCTTTTTCATATAGCCTCTGATACATCTGTGCCCATCCTGAGCTGATATTTTCGATCCCTTGTTCCTGGGAGCCCCTTGTGGATACAATCACACCATTCAATTATTGCCACCACAGACTGTGGTTGTGAACCTTATGCAGAGACCCTATGCCTGGTGGGAGATCTGTTCCTGGCCAGCTCCAGATGTATGCCA